TAATCTTGGCTTGTTTTGTTCATACACTCCATATTCTGAACCCTCTAGGGTCAAGATTGCCGATGGCAGTTTTTCCCAGATTGCGGGACACGGAACCATTAAACTTTCTGAGCTGATTAATTTGACATCAGTTCTTTATGTTCCTTTTCTGGCTTGTAATCTCATTTCCATAAGCAAGCTGACTTCTGAGTTGCATTGCTTTGCTAAATTCTTTCCACATGGTTGTGTTTTTCAGGAACAGGACTCGGAGAGGATGATTGGTAGTGCTAGAGAGGATGGTGGACTTTACTACTTTGAGGAGGATGTGACTTATGAAATTGTTTTCGTAGAAAAAAACTCTATGTTTCCTTTTGATTCATGTAATGATGTTATGCTGTGGCACCGTAGGCTAGGCCATCCCAATTTTATTTATCTTCAGAAGTTGTTACCAAACTTATTTATTAATAAAAGTCCTTGTTTGTTTTCTTGTGATATTTGTCAACTTGCCAAGCATACTCATGCTCCTTATCCTTCTAAAGTTCACCATGACTCTTCCCCATTTTCCTTAATACATAGTGACATATGGGGTCCAGCCCGTGTTAAAAATATTTCAGGTACTCGATGGTTTATTACTTTCATTGATGACCATTCCCGAGTTTGTTGGGTATATCTTCTAAAGGACAAGTCCGATGCTGCATCCGTGTTTAAAAAATTTCATGCCATGGTTCAAACCCAATTCCAAGTTGCTATACAAATTCTTCGTACAGATAATGGCAAAGAGTATTTTAACTCTATTCTTGGAGAATATCTTTCCCAACATGGCATCCTTCACCAAAGCTCGTGTCCTGACACACCCCAACAAAACGGAGTTGCGGAAAGAAAAAACCGACATCTCCTTGAAGTTGCTCGGGCTCTTATGTTTACCACGAGTGTTCCTAAATATCTTTGGGGAGAGGCAGTTCTCACTGCCTCGTATCTGATAAATCGAATGTCATCTCGCATTCTAAATTTCAGTCTCCTCTTTCTAGTCTTGTTCGTATCTTCCCTTCCTTCCGAGGTGTCTCTTCCTTACCTCTCAAGTTATTTGGTTGCGTTGTATTTGTCCATATTCCCTCCCATCAACGGTCTAAGCTTGATCCTAAGTCTCTCCAGTGTGTCTTTATTGGTTATTCTCCTACTCAACGTGGCTATAAGTGTTATTCACCCTCTCTTCGTAAGGTCTTTGTCTCTATGGATGTCACCTTTTCTGAGAATGACCCTTTCTTCCCCGTGACTTCTCTTCAGGGGGAGTCTATAGGAGTAGATGAAGATCAGTCATGGGAACCTACTAATGCCACAGTATTACCTCTACTTTTGGAAACAGGGGGAGCTAAAGAATCCTCATCATCAGGAGCCTCCTCAAAATGGGGACAAGTTCATAGCAGGCGAAAGCCTCCTCAAAGTATGAATAACCCAAAGCCTCTGCACTGCTAGGATTCTGAACCATGTTCTAGTTCCAGCACCCCAACACTTGAGTGCCATGGTGAAAATGATCTACACTTGCCCATTGCTCTCAGAAAAGGTACTCGATCTTGTACTACTCATCCTATTTCTAATCATATTTCATATGGAAAGTTGTCCCCAGGGTTCCGTGCTTTCCAATACTATGTTGGACGAGAAATATACATGAGGCTCTCGATGATCAAAAATGGAGGGATGCTGTCTTTGAAGAAATGAATGCTTTAGAAAGAAATGGAACTTGGGAGATAGTGACCCTACCCAAGGGAAAATAGGCAGTAGGATGCAAATGGGTGTTTACCATAAAATTCAATACAGATAATAGCATCAACAAATACAAGGCAAGATTGGTTGCAAAGGGTTTCACTCAGACTCATTGGATAGATTATCATGAGACTTTTGCTCCGGTTGCTTAAGTCAATAACATCCGAGTTCTCTTATCTCTTGTTGCCAACCTAGATTGGCCTCTGCAACAGTTAGATGTGAAGAATGCATTCCTAAATGGTGACTTACATGAAGAAGTCTATATGGATCCTCCACCTGGTTTTGAAAAGGGAAATGGATCAGTGTGTAAACTAAAAAGGTCTCTATATGGATTGAAACAGTCTCCTAGAGAATGATTCGACAAATTCACACAAGCAGTCAAAAGAAGAGGCTTCATTCAAGCACAGACTGATCATACTCTCTTCCACAAACACTCTAAGGATGGTAAAATTGCTATTCTTATTGTATATGTAGATGATATAATTCTTACAGGTGATGATATTGAGAAATTGAACACTTTGAAGAAATTTCTAGCAGCTCAATTTGAACTCAAGGATCTTGGCACTCTCAAATATTTTCTTGGTATGGAAGTTGCTAGGAGCAAAACAGGCATCACTCTCACACAAGAGAAATATGTTCTAGATCTTTTGTTGGAAACAAGAATGTTAGGGTGTAAGCCTGCTGAGACACCTGTGGAACCTAATAGCAAGTTAGGTATTGAAGATGGGAATGAGGTGGATAAAAAACAATGTTAGTGATTGGTTGGTAAACTAATTTACTTATCTCATACGCGTCCTGACATTGCCTTTGCGGTGAGTATGATTAGTCAATTCATGCACTCACCCAAGGAGAAACATCTTAGTGCAGTCTATAGGGTGCTTAGATACCTCAAGAACACTCCAGGAAGAGGATTATTCTTTAAAAAGGGGTATAAAAGGACAATTGAAATCTACACTGATGCAGATTGGGCAGGCTTATTAGTAGACATGAGATCTACCTCAGGCTATTGCACCTACGTGTAGGGAAATCTTGTTACTTGAAGAAGCAAAAAGCAAACAGTGGTTGCAAGAAGTAGTGCTGAAGCAGAATTTCGAGTTTTAGCTCATGGAGTTTGTGAAGGAATCTGGTTGAGAAGACTTCTTCAAGAGTTGAAGATTTCATATTCCCTACCAATAAAACTATATTGTGACAACAAGGCAGCTGTTAGCATTGCTCAAAATCCTGTGCATCATGATCGAACAAAGGATGTGGAAGTTGATCGTCACTTCATCAAAGAAAAATTAGATGATGGAATTGTGCGTATGATATATGTTCCAACCAAAGAGCAAACTGCAGATATCCTTACCAAGGGCCTACACCGTCCAGCATTCGAAGACTTGATTGGCAAGTTGGGAATGATCAACATTTACCTCCCAACTTGAGGGGGAGTATAGAAAATCAGAATTCAAATATGTTTCCGTTTTTATTTCCTATTAATTAGGATTGATTATGATTGATTGTGATTAGGATTGATTAGTCATCGCTGAGTCGTTCTTAGCGATTCTTTCGTGTATAAATACACACTCATGTAACTTATTCAATATCAATATACAGAAACCTTTTTTCAATAACAAGTATGGAAATAGAAGAAGCAAGAAGAAAATTAGAGAATCAAGGTGCCATCTCTGCCCAAGTGGCCAAAGCCGACCCAAACTACCAATGTGACAGATTATTAGTATTAGTATAGGGGTTAGTGCTTTGTCTATCACATCAAACCAATATCAATTTTAGATTATTCATTAGCTTATTCTCTCTTTTCCTTCTTCCCTACCTAAATCCCTATAATTTCAACAGTTACAATATGTGTTTCATTGGTTTTGTCTAGATGATGAGGCTAAGTTTTTGTGGCGGTCTGCAATATTCTCTTGTATATCTTGTTGGTTCTTTGGGTTTTTTTGACTTTTGTGCCCTTAATTAAATAAAAAATAACCATAATGTCCCCGGATTTAAACTATTTAAAAAAATTGACCTTCCCCCCAAACATTTAATCGATTATGATGTTGTTATCGATTATAGTATCATCATAATCGATTAAATGTTGCGCTGTGTAATCGATTACATTGACTTTGATATGTTTGAGGTGAAATATAATCATATTGAGTTTTCATTCCTTGCCAGAGTTAAATTAAATAGGCATGCATGAAGACAGGAAGAGGAGACAAAGGATCTCCTTCCCAAGCGTTGATTGTTTCTCTTATATGTCATCAAAAGTAGAATGAATTAAACATGTATATAAGACCAAAAACACAAGGCATATATCAGGTAAAGCTATATAAGAAAATGTATAAGAGAACAGAGAAAAGAGTACACACTTTTGTGAGAAGGACACGCTGATGTTAGAATTTCAAACTCTCCTGCATCTACTAGAACAATCTACATGACTTGAGTAATTTTTCCACCGACAATCTAGGAAAATCCATTGATTAGAAGATGGATCCAGAAGCTGTTAGAATAGTCAAAGTGGGCAACAATAAAAAATTGGTGGCTGATATATACATGTGTTAAGTAGGTAATATTATAATATATTTTTGGTAACAAATGACGGTTAATACACCTATATATATGTGGGTTGGTGTATCCTTAAAAGTGTAAGAGAATAGAAAAAGGAAGGAGAGAGTGCCGAAGCACCATATAATAGAAAAGAAAAAAGAAAAGGAGAAGTGAGGTTACAGTGAGTTGTAAAAACAGAGTATCGAAGTAACCCCAGATCCAGCGCTCTAAATCGTACTGCACATCAAACCCTTGATCCAGCGCTTTCTTTAACGCACCAACTCTACCCTCAGAGTCCCAAACAACATTCCGTGTAACTTGCACTTGAACACTAACCCGGCAGTTCAGAAGGCCTGGGAACTTCTGAAGCTGAGTTCCATTGACCACATAAAAAGCATGTTTATTGCTTTCATTCTCTCACGTAAAAGTGTTCCCCACAATTGAATTCTCAGAAGGAAATTCGTAGAATATAGTGACATTGAATTTTTGTGAGCCAACTTGAACTGAAGTGGTTTGGTTATCCATGCACGTGAGCTTGAACCCATCGCTGCCACAAAAATGGGGTCAGTTCCCTCCCCAGAAAGGATAGGATAAGCTTGAACCCATCAGAACCATATATTACTTTCCTTTCTGTTATATTAGTGTTTTAAATATTTATAATTTTTCTTAATGAAGTAAATTTTCTTTTTAATTTTTCTTATACCTACCATTTCATTATCTCTTATGTTTAGGTTGACATATGGGAGGAGAGGAAGGTTTTTGGTTCACGGGGTCAGAGTCTTAAGGATGAAATGATGGGTAAGAATCCCCTTCCATCATCTACAAGCAATGGAAAGAGTTCAAATCCTATCAAGATAGTGAAGAGGGATGCCCACTCAGTGAGATTAGTAAGCAAGTTGTTGCAACATTGTCTGATCTTTGGTTTATTGCCTATTAGGTTTTGCTTTGGCATTTTTTATCTTAAGGTATGTCATTACTTGATCGTCTTCATTGCAGAAACTGGCTGTTGGGTGTCTGCCAGAAAAAATACTGACAGCATTGCATTCTGTTCTTGATGAACATCTTAATGAGGAAGCTACCCTAAACAGTTGTAATGCTGCTATATGTCAAGTGGGTAAACTTGTAGAAGATGTTGATTATATATTGGCTCAAGGTAAGAAGATGGGGAAGTGGGACTTGATATTAATTATTTGAAAATTTGTTTTTTAAGTGTTATTCTTCTGGGCCATTTGTTGATGGTCTTAGACAAAAGAGAGATGGCTATCATAACTGAAACACTAATTTTGAAACATAAAAATATCAGGCTGTGGTGAAAGGCTCAGAAACATGGTTTGGTCATGCTTGATAGTGACCATTTAGAAGTGAGATTGATAGTGTGTAAAAGGAATGGAGCAAAATAGGAATTAGATGTCCTATGTTTTGCCCTGTTAATAGCAAAGGTGGGAAGAATGTCTAATGTATTCTTTAATATGTTTGATTGAGGTGACAAATAAATAAAGGGTATACTTTCTATGATGAACAAACTATCCCAAAAGTATAAGCTATAAGGTGTGTAAAGAACCAATTCAACGCAAAAGTTTAAGCTCTTGGGTGAGGACCTCTTTAATGGTTTATATTATACTCTAACACGTCCCCTCACAAGAGAGTCCATTGGGCTTGAAAAGTGGATGATGCATCAGGCCCAACCTACCTGTGCTAAGAAATTCCATAAGAGAAAGTGGGAGGAGGTGAGGATCGATCTCGTGACACCGAGAATCAGAACCAATTCAACCCAAAAGCTTAAGCTGTTAGGTGAGTACCTCTTTAATGGTTTATATTATACTCTAACAGGGTGAAATTACATAAATGGTTTGATATCTAATATGCCTCCTCATGCAAGAACCCTTCGGGCTTGTAGTGGGAAAATGCATAGGCCTTCTCTATCTTGCGTTGAAATTTAAATTTAACTTAGAAGAATGGGAGCAACAAGGATCAAACTCAAAATTATATGGTCATAGATGCTCTAATATCATGTCATGAATAAGGAGGAAAAATAAAGATATATGATGAAAATCAGGTGCCTAAATAGTACTATGGAGGTTGAATATATAGAGTTATTGTAATAAAATACAAAATTTACGAGTGGACGTGTCGATCCTTGCTAACCGACATTGACAATCACCGGACGCACCCTCACGTGTCTAATCTCTGGTCTTCCTATTCTCTTTTCTTCGCTCTCCCACACGTCCTCTCCATATATCTGGTGTTTTCCATCTTTGCTTGCACTTCGTTGGTGTCTGTCTGGCCCTTTCCTCCACTGCCTAAGTGCTCACGTCCTCTTCTTATATTTATCTTCTCCAGCCTTTTTCTCTTGTCCAGTGTGACCTATGATTGAATCTGGTCTCTTAGATGCATCTAAAGTTGTTCTGAAGGCTGAGCCCTCTGTTTTCACCATGTTAATGCTCTTCTTTCCACTAACAATTTTGATGATAGCAACTATGACAGGCGGGCTTTGAATATTAAACTTTGGCTTAATGAGCAAGATTACGTAGACCACCTCACCACCAAGGCTGAGTCTATGTTGTTAATCATCCTAGGTGGACTAAGATCGATGACCAATTGTGTAGCGTCATAAAATCCACTATTCATCCATCTTTGAAATAGATCTTCGAGGCTTATGTCTTGTCTTGTAGTATGCCAAGGTCTTTTATACTAATGATACTTAGTGCCTTTATCACCTTCCATAATGTTGTAAGTGTCATTACGCCTTGGAAGTTTGATGCCCTATCTTTGCATATTTGGGGAAGATTCATGGGGTTCCAATGATTTCAATGAATTATTGCCCTCTGCAGATACACTAGTGTAGGAACTTGAGCAACATAGTACATTTTTCATGCTATTAGTCCTTTATGTTTTGTCTTCAGAGTACTTTTCCAATCATGATCATATTTTGGGCTTACCCACTAACTCCACTCTAAACACAACTTGGTCCTTTTTGCTCATGATCCCATCAAAGGTCTAGGGGTGTCAAAACGGGTCGACACAATACGAATACACGCAATTCGAACACGACACAATTTGTTTGCAGGTTGACACGAAACGAATGACGCGCAAACTATGGGTCAAAATGGTAATTGACCAAGAAAAAACAAAAATAATAATAAGAAAAAAAATATGGGTCGAATTCGTATTGACATGACACGACACGCGACACGACACGAAATTTTTTGCGGGTCAACCCGAACACGAATTTTCGTGTCTTGTCGTGGGTCGACTCGCATGTCATAACCTGTTTTGACACCTCTAATCAAAGCAACCCTATAAACTTGACCTATATCCTTCTCTTGTTGATTCTTCTACCCTTGTGTCCAAGTGTTATGGCTGTGGTCGTAAGTCCAACAAATGTTGTCCTCAATGCGACCATTGCCCCATGTTAGGCCATACCATTGATAGTGTTGGGCCTTTCATGGCCCCTTCCTCATTCCAACCTTGCGCGTGGCTCTTTGTCAGTACCCCCTATATCCGTTGAACACTCGATACTATTTATGACTACCTATGCTAACTTTCCGAAATGGTTTGGGCAACGCCAAACTTCTAGTTTCACCGCTTCTGTTGCCCACACGGGTATTTCTTTCACTTGTCTCTCTTGGTCATCACCTTTGGGACCATGGTTCTTAAATTTTGATGTTATTGATCATATCTCTGGTAATAAATCTCTTTTCTCGGACATCTCTATCTCTGGTTATTTTCCCACAGTCACTTTAGCTAATGGTTCTAAAACACAATCCAAAGAGGTTGATATCAACCACCACCTTCCTTTTATTTTTGTTGATTTTGTTCTATATGTTCCTGGTTCTCCATTTGACTCGCTTTCCATTAGTCATATCACATGTTGTCTTGATTGTGTTGTCTTTTTTACTAAAGATTCTATGTTTTACCTGGACTAGAGTTTGGGATGGATGATTAGTGTCAGATGTGAGTCTTATGGGTTCTACTTGCTCTTTAACTCCTCTGGTGTTTGCTCCATTACGAACTCCCCTCTTACTATTCATGCCGAGTTAGGTCATTCGAGTTTTGACAAATTGCAGTGATGGGTGCCAAGCCGGTTGAAGGTGTCTAGTTTTCCTTGCCAGTCTTGTTAGCCTTGCAAAAGATTTTTATTGGTTCCTTAGTCAGTGTAGTTCCCTGCCAAGAGAATGTTCTTGAATTTTCCTATATCAAATTTGGTATTCAGAGGCATTAGCTTATGAACCATACTATGAAGTTGTGGGAGAGAGTTATTGAGTATTGGCTGAGAATAGAGATCAATGTCTCTATAAATCAATTTTGATGTATGCCAAGAAGATCTATCATGGAGGTTATTTTCTTGATACGACAATTGATCGAAAGTTTTCGAGAAAAAAGAAAGATCTACCTATGGTATTTATTGATCTTGAGAAAACATATAAAAAGGTTCTAAGATAGGTTCTAATGGTGGATTCTTGATAATAAAAAAGTCTTGTCAAAGTATGTAGAGTCAATCAAAGATATGTTTGATGGAATTACTACATGCGTGAAGTAATACAACATCAAATTGTTTTCTTATCAAAGCAGGTTTACCCAAGGTATTGCTTTGAATCCTTAACTTTTTGCCCCAGTTATGGATGAGCTAACATAATATATCCAAAACGAGATGCCACGATGTATGCTATTTGCAGATAATATTGTGCTTATTGATGAGACTAAGGCTGGTGTTAACAAAATATTAGAGTTGTGGAGAAGCATGTTAGAGTCTAAATTATTTTTGTGTTTAGTCGGATTAAGACTGATTATATAAAATGAGTTTACTACGACAAGAGGATATCAAGATTCTGTGTATATACTAGGACGGGAGATCAACATTAACATCAACAACACCTTTATCCCAAACTAATTGGGGTCGGTGGTAGATGAACCCAAATGAAAGGTACGAAGGGATAAAAAAATAAAAAATAATAATAATATATATAAAATTATAAAAGTAAAAATAAAAGGGGTGTAAAATAAATAAATAAAATAAAAGAAGAAGAAGAAGATGAGGAAGGGGAAAAAAGATAAACGAAAGGAAGGGGAAAAGAAGAAGATGGGGGAGATGAAAAGGAAAAAGACTAAAAAGGGACCATCTGAAACATAGGAATAACAACGAGTCTAACCCTCCATCATGCTAATAGCTTTTCTCCATTTTGTCCTAAGGTACACTGTGCGCCAATCTATATCCCACTCTATTAAGTCTTGTTTTACTATCTTCCTCCAAGTAAGTTTCGGTCTATCTCTACCTTTCTTTGTGTTGAGCTCTTGGTAACAAACTTTTATTTTTACGGGAGCTTCCAGGTGCCTTTTCATTACGTGCCCAAACCATTTCAATCTATGTTCTCTCATCTTTTTAGCCACCCGTAGTACTCCTACCTTACGTCGAATATCTTAATTTCTTATCTTATCCATCTTCGTATAATCACACATCCACCTTAACATCCTCATCTCTGCTACACCCATTTTATGTGCATGTTGCCTATGTGCTGGCCAACATTCAGCTCCATATAACATTGTAGGCCTTACTGCTGTTCTATAGAATTTTCCTTTTAGCTTAAGGGGAATTTTGCGGTCACACAAAAACCCAGAAGCACTATGTCATTTCGTCCACTCTGCTCTGATTCTATGATTTACATCCTCATTAATCTCTCCGCCTTTTTGCGAAATGGATCCCATGTATTTAAAAGCATCTTTCTTGGGTACCTCTTGATCGAGTAGATGTGCAGGATCTTGGTCTACATCTCTTACCAGATAAAACTCACACTTCATATACTCATTCTTGCTCTGGCTTAACGTGAATCTTTTAGACTCCATTGTGCTTCTCCACAATTCAAGTTTTCTATTAACATCGTCTTTGGTCTCATCAATAAGCACAATATCAACTGCAAAAAGCATACACCATGGCAGTTCCTCTTGGATATTTTTGTTAGTTCATTTATAACTAAGGCAAAGAGATAAAGACTTAGAGCCGAACCTTGGTGTACACCTACCGTGATGGGCAAATAACTTGATGTTCCATTACAAGCTTTCACACATGTAGTAGCCCTATCATACATATCCATAATTGCCTTTGCATACTTTGATGGAAAAATGCTAGGATGGGAGATACAGAAGAAAAATGCTTTTAGAAAAATGTGGAATAAGGCCTTGGGCACTCCCACCCTTTGAGTTAGCTTTTGGGGTGGTGTATCCCAAGGTTCTTTACATGGTATCAAAGCCTCGCTGTCCCCCACTTTCTCTTGTGGTGTTTCTTAGCACAGGTAGGCTGGGCCTGTTGCACTGTCCACTCTTCTAGCCCAATGGGCTCTCGTGTGAGGGGGCATGTTAAGATATATAGTCCCACATTGGTTGTATGTGCAACTAATGTGGAGTTTATAAGGCTTTGGGTACTCCCACCCTTTGAGCTAGCTTTTGGGGTGGTGTATCCCAAGATTCTTTACAAATATAGATTGAGATGGTTTTAGCATATTATTCGAAGACTGCAAGATCTTCTCGTAAGAACAAAACTTTGTTTCCAAGAGCATGACACAGAGACGAAGAAGTTGGCTAAAACTTAAAGGAAAAGTAGTAAAAAAAAAAAGATTTAATAAAAGAGGGAAATATATTGGCTTATGGTGTGTCTTTGGATAGAGTGGAGGAAAGCTATTAGCATTGTGGAGGGCTAGATCCATTTTTTTCTATATCCCAAACAACCTTTTTTTAGTTATTTTTCCATATATTTATTTATTTATATTTCTCTAATTTACTTTCCTTCTTATTTATTTTTATTTTCTATTTTTTCTTCTTTTCTTGCTGGTTATTTGGGCTCATTGGCTGCTAACCCTAACTAGTTTGGGAGAAAGGTGTTGTTGATGTTGAAATTTGTTATTTAGAGCCTAATTTTGATCCTGCTACTGCTTTCTGTTCACTACTTTGATTTTCAATCTCACTTCTATCTTTGGTTCACGACCTTAATTTTCGTGCTAGTCACAAACTTCACAATTTCTTTGTCGTTCTTTGTCAAATTGGAGATGAGAAAATACAATATTCTCCCTGTAGAAACTCTTTGGATGTGCAAAATACGTTCAATTCTCCAAAGGTGAGTTCTTCTAGAGAGGGAGGTGCAGAATAGAGAAGCAAATTTGTGTAGTATTGTGTTATTGAGGAGTTATTATTTTATGGCAAGAAAATTTGGGAAAATATGTTCTTGGAAAATAATATTGTGTTACGATTTCTTATTTGTTTAGGATTTCATAGTTTAGGAAATTAATATTTGATTAGGTTTATTAGGACTTATCTAGGACTTTTTATTTGATTTAAGATTTCATATTTAATTAGGATTTATCTAGGATTTTTATTATTTTTGGGTTATAAATACCCGTTAGGTATATATATTGGAGGAACAATTTGCCCTAGTGGAACACTCATTTTATGAGATAGGGATTATGAATACCCTATTGTAAAATATGCAAAACAATATTGTCATGAACCAACTTACCACACTAGCTGAGTAGACTATATCAGGATGGGTAATTGTGACACGATTAAGCTTGTTAACCTGCTTCCTACATCGCTCTAAGTCTGGAAGAATATTACCATCACCTGTGAAAAATTAACATTCAGATTATGGGTGTTTCAGATGGCCTAACTCTCCAAACAGGTCAAGGATATAGTTTATTTGAGAAAAGAAAGACATCCCTTACTACAGGCTACCTTAATACCCATGAATTACTTCAGAGTACCAATACCACTCTGGACTGATTCAAGAAGAAATAACCATGCCATCCATGATAGAAAATTTCTTGGATGTGAGGTATGACTCTAGACAGCCTCCAAATAAGCTGTAATGCACCAAACGGTCCCTGGAGAGCATGTTCCAACCAGAAAAGCTAGCTTGAAGCCCTAAAAGATCCCCTCAGCATCTGACTCTACCTTCGTTGCACACACCTCTCTAGCCTGCCACAATTCTTTTGGTCAACATCATTGGTCTAAGCTGCACCTCATGGGGTTGCAATATTAAACAAGAAATCCACCAAGTTATCACTCGCCCAGAAAGGATGATTGATCTCCATGGAGTAGAGTGACCAAGGCTGGTAAAGAAAATGTTTTTCCTTTTTTGGTAAACAGTTAGATCTGTTTTCGGACCTTGTTTGAACTTAGCTCTTGATACATGTAGAAAAGGAATTAAGAGAGTGAAACAATGGAGAGAAAGTAAAGAGAGAGAAGAATGGTACTCTAATGGGATGCACCCACTTGTTTACTGTCAGGCTCTCCATGTGTGTATATAAATACTTGGTAATTTAATTGTAGTACAAGAGTGTTTCAACTGTACAATCCTCGCCTGGCCAAAACATAAAATTCAGTAATACATTATTTTATTCCAGCACTCTTACAAAACTATCTTAAATTCTTGCTGTAATTAATTTTGACCAGATTTATTGTGCAAGAGCTTAATAATTAATGAATTCACTTGTACTGATATTGCATATTGATTTGATATCACTTCAGGAAATCAGCTGGGATCCACATTGGTGAATGACTTGCAAGAGCAGGAAAAGGAGCTTAAGCAATATATGATGCAACTTGAAAATGCTGAGGCTGCCCGGGGTACTTTGCTTTCCCAGCTTAGAGACGCATTGCAGGAACAGGTGCAGTTATTTTTGTAAATATGCTTGTCATGAACCAATTCTCCTAAACGCTTAAGCTATTAGGTGGAGACACATAAATGATTTTATATTATATTTCTAATTGTTAAATATGATTAGATATGATTAGTCTGATTAGATATTATTAGTCTGTAATTATTCTGATTATATTGTGATTGTATTAGGTCTGGGCCTTTCCTATAAGCCCATTAGAGTCTCTATATATTGTAACTCTCTGAATTAGATTAATACACAACATATTATTTTATATTCAAGTTGGTACCAGAGATCTTTCGTTCTGGGGACCTTCGCTTCCGCTTAGAAACCTTGTTTTCGCCTTAAAACCTAAGCCCACTGCTTAGGAGTCATCCTTCCTTTGCCGTGTATCCTTCCGGCAAGACATCAAGGACCGTTAGTCCCTTCCGAGCAATTTCCGAACGCGTCAGCACCTCCGACGGTCACCGGAACAACCATCCGCCATTGTTCAGGCCGCCAGAGCACTTTTCCGGCGAGTTTTCAGCTCGATTAGCACGCGATCAGAACGCTCTTCCTCCGGCGACCTACTCTGCAGAAGGCCCATCACCGGCGGCCAAGTCACGCGCCCTCATGCGCGGCTGAGCTTCTCTGCGTGTGGTCCTCACACGCTGCCTCTCACCAGCGCGTGAGCACTGTTCCAGTGGCTTTTTCCGGCCACTCCAAGACAGAACAACTCGCCTTCCTCCCCTCTTCTCCGATCTGGTCTTCATTCGTTGTGGGTCTCGTCCGTTCAGAAGATATCAATGATTCTTTGCTTTCCGGTCATTGTTTCAAGTGCTGTGCATTCTTATTTTTTGATATCAGTGATAACCCACTGTTCATCGTCATTGTTCTTAGTGCTGGAATTTTCTATTTGAGTCTGTTTTATTTTTTATTTGGTAATCTGTGTTTTTTTGGTCCTTTTATTTGTTTCTGGTCATCTTTATTTAAGTTTTTGATGGAGGGCACATCCAAAAATAGTACTGGAGTCATCTCCAGTACTACCCCATCCATTACAACAATGAAACTGACCAGATTTGCTACTTACAAGACCTGGTCTACCTTAGTTAAGATCTGGTTTACTGGTCAGGGACACGGTCCACATCTCACAACTAAGTCTGCCGATATTTCAAAAGACCAGACATCTGAATGGGACAAGATTGATGCTTAACTGCTAAGTATCCTTTGGCAGTCCATTAATCGGACGATTATAGACATTTTCATCTCCTTTGAGACCTGCTATGACGTATGGGAGGAAGCTAAAAACCTCTACACCAATGACATTCAACAACTTTATTCAATTGTGTCTCAGATAATGGAATTGCGCAAATCTCCAGAGTCTCGAATGGAAACTTATATTGGTAAGATACGTTCTTTGATGCAAGAATTCTGGGCTATGTTACCTCATGCCACAGATGCCTCTGCGTACAAGAAGCAGGTGGAGCGCTTTTGCAGGTGGAGCGCTTCTTTATGGTCATAACTCTCTCCGGTCTTTCTGAGGAGTTAGAAAGTGTTCGTGAGAATATTCTAACCAGTGCTGAGACTCCTAGCCTGTCACACACTTTCCAACGCCTTCTGAATCTTAAGGACAAACCAACAGCTCCCACACATGTGCCAGCTACCGATTCCACTGCATTCTTTTCTCGCTCCAATGATTCTTGGAACAGTGGACGCGGACGTGGTCGTGGACAGGGTGACCGCGGACAGAGGCCTCGTTGCAATTATTGCCAGAATCTTGGACATTTTGAAGAACGCTACTACAGGAAGTACCCTCACTTGAAACCACCGACTGCCAACTTTGCTCAGACTGATGTTACACCACCTCCTACTGGATCAGTAACTCTTTCCAGTGCCGAATATGAGGCACTTCTCAAGAAGGTTTCCTCTCAGCATCCTTCTCAAGACACTGGTAATCATGTTGCTTGCCTTTCTCAATCATCTCTTAGACCTTGGATAATAGACTCAGATGCTACTCATCACCTTTGTGGTAATAAGGATCTTTTCACTTCCCTTTCTTATTCTAATAATTTACCCTCTGTTACTCTTGCTGATGGTACTAAGGCTCCTGCTCGTGGAATTGGGGAAGCCAACCCAACTCCCTTTTTAGCTTTGACCTCTGTTTATTATATACCCGACATTCCTTTTAATTTAATCTCTGTTAGCCAGTTGATTTAGTCTCTTTCATGTACTGTTACCTTCTCTAAACAATCCTTCTCTATGCAGGATCCGGGTACGGGGAAGACGATTGGAGCGGGCATTGATTCACGAGGTCTTTACTATCTGATTGCACCACCTTTTCCAGTAGCATGTTCTCTCACAGAGTCTCCTGAGCTAATTCACAGTCATCTGGGTCATCCAAGCCTCTCCAAGCTTCAGCATATGGTTCCTTTTTTGTCTAGTCTTAAGTCTTTAAATTGCCAGTCTTGTCAGCAAGGAAAACACACTCGCTCCTCCTTTGCTAATAGAGTCAATAAACGAGCTGATGCTCCTTTTTCTATTGTTCATTCTGACATTTGGGGTCCGAATCGAACAATGTCTGTTTTGGGTTTTCAGTATTTTGTTGCCTTTATTGATGATTTCTCTCGTTGTACTTGGGTATATTTTATGAAAAATCGTTCTGAATTATCTTCAATTTATCAAAAATTTTGTGCTGAAATAACTACTCAATTTGGTGCTTCTATTCAAATCTTGCGCAGTGATAATGCAAGAGAATATGTGTCTTTTGAATTTTCTAATTTTTTGGAGAAACGTGGAACGATACACCAGACCACTTGCCCACACACTCCACAACAAAATGGAGTGGCCGAACGTAAAAATAGACATTTGGTTGAAACTGCACGTACCTTACTAATTCACATGAATGTTCCACTCCGTTTTTGGACAGATGCTATGATCACCTCTTGCTTTCTCATCAATCGCATGCCCTCTTCCGTACTTAATAATGAAGTTCCACATAGTGTTTTATTTCCAAGAGCATCTTCCTATCCTCTACCTCCACATGTATTTGGATGTACGTGCTTTGTTCATGATCTTACTCCAGGTAAAGATAAGTTAACATCCAAAGCTTTCAAGTGTGTTTTCGTTGGATACACTCGTTTTCAAAAGGGGTATCGTTGCTACTCTCCTGATCTCAAGCGTTATATTGTTTTAGCTGATGTCACTTTCCTTGATCAATAACCTTTTCATTTTATCCCGTCTCAGATAACACAGGTCGATCGTGTTCTTCCTATTCCTTGTCTTGATTTGTCTTTACCAGTTGCAGGTGACTCTATCCCGGAGGAGCTACCCCTTGCCTCCATCCCTGAGGACCGTCCTTTTCTCACCTATCAGCGTCGTCAGCCTGCACCTCCAGCAGATTTGACTCTGACTGACTCACCGCCTGCTCCAGTCGACTCTTCCCCTCCGGATCCTCCATCAGAGATTACTCCCATTGCCCTTCGCAAAGGTATTCGATCCACTCGCAACCTTCATCCACTTTATAGTTTCTTGAGTTATGATAGACTTTCTTTACCACATTTTACTTTTGTTTCTAGTATTTCGTCTGTTTCTATTCCTAAAACCGCAGGTGAAGCACTATCTCATCCGGGTTGGCGTCAGGCAATGATTGATGAAATGCAAGCACTTCACTCCAATGGCACCTGGGATCTTGTTCCTGCTCCTCCCGGAAAGTCAGTAGTCGGCTGTCGATGGGTATTCACTGTCAAAGTTGGTCTTGATGGCACTGTTGATCACCTCAAAGCTCGTTTGGTGGCCAAAGGTTACACTCAGATATTTGGTCTTGACTATGGGGATACTTTTTCTCCTGTTGCCAAGATGGCATCCGTCCGCCTATTTCTTGCCCTTGCTGCTGTTCGTCACTGGCCACTCCTTCAACTTGACATCAAAAATGCCTTTCTTCATGGCGATTTGCAAGAAGAAGTTTACATGGAGCAACCACATGGTTTTGTTGCTCAGGGGGAGTCTGGACAAGTGTGTCATCTTCAAAAATCCTTATATGGTCTCAAGCAGCCTCCTCGAGCATGGTTCAGTCGCTTCAGTTTTGCCGTTCACGCGTTTGGCTTAATCCGCAGTAAAGTTGATCATTCTGTATTTTATAGGATTACATATTCTGATAAGTGCATCTATTTGTTAGTCTATGTTGATGACATCATTCTCACCGGAAGTGATCAAGACGGAATTCGTCAGTTAAAACAACATTTATTCAGTGCATTTCAAACAAAGGACCTTGGGAAGCTGCGTTACTTCTTGGGAATTGAGGTGGCGCAATCTAGACAGGGCATTTCTATTTGTCAAAGGAAGTATGCCTTGGATATCCTCGAAGAAACTGGTATGTTGGGGAGTAAACCAGTTGATACACCCATGGATCCTAATGTCAAGTTATTGCCCGGACAGGGGAAGCTGTTATCTGATCCTGGACGTTATCGGAGGCTAATTGGGAAGCTCAATTATCTTACTGTGACTAGGCCAGATATTTCTTTTGCTGTTAGTACGGCTAGTCAGTTTCTTGATTCCCCTTGTGATTCACATTGGGATGCTGCTGTGAAGATCCTCCGATACATCAAAGGAGCACCAGGAAAAGGTTTGTTGTATTCAGATCAGGGAAATACAGAAATTTGTGGTTATTCAGATGCTGATTGGGCAGGATCACCCTCGGACAGGCGCTCTACTTCCGGCTATTGTGTCTTCTTTGGAGGAAACTTAATTTCATGGAAGAGCAAGAAACAACCTGTAGTTGCTCGGTCTAGTGCAGAAGCTGAGTATCGTGCAATGGCATATACTACGTGTGAGTTAATCTGGTTAAAGCAGTTGATTCAGGAACTTAATCTTTGTGAACAGAAACAACCCATGACACTCATCTGTGATAATCAAGCTGCGCTACATATATCCTCTAATCTTGTCTTTCATGAGAGGACCAAACATATAGAGATTGATTGTCACTTCATTCGAGAAAAGATTCAATCAGGAGAAATCAAGACTGCTTTCGTCAACTCCTCTGATCAACTCGCGGATGTCTTCACTAAAGCTCTTAGAGGTCCTCGGGTTCAATCCATTTGTAATAAGCTTGGTGCTCACAATATATACGCACCAGCTTGAGGGGGAGTGTTAGATATGATTAGATATGATTAGTCTGATTAGATATGATTAGTCTGTAATTATTCTGATTATATTCTGATTGTATTAGGTCTGGGCCTTTCCTATAAGCCCATTAGAGTCGTTATATATTGTAACTCTCTGAATTAGATCAATACACAACATATTATTTTATATTCAAGTGTAATATACTCCCTCACACAAAAGTCTTTTGGACTTAAAGCATGGACGATGCACAACCCTATCTTGTGCTGAAATCCAACTTTTTATCAGAAGAATAGGGATGCCAAGGATCTAACTCTTAGAGGCTTGATTAATTTTACATTAGTTCTATTTATTTTGTGCTGAAATCCATCCTGATACTGTGTCATGAACTTGTTAGAATTAATTTTAAATTAATTCTATTTATGAATAAGAAATTTGATTTTATAAATGTGTTGCTTTGTCACTGAATGAATGTGTCTTTTTGCTACTAAATGAGTGTTGTTTAAATCATAACTGTAAAGAACCAATTCAACCCAAAAGCTTAAGCTGTTGGGTGAGGTTACATTAATGATTTTATATATCTCAACAATAACCTTATGTTTTTTATAAATAAATGGGGATTCATAATTTTCAGATACAAGTTTTCCCTATTATTTTTTTTGTACATTTTTTGCATTTGCATCCATCTACTCTAGTGCGATTGGTCAGACATAGATTGAGTTCGATGGTGCTGTTCTATATGGAAGTGCCACCACAAGAACAGAGGTAATCCGTTCTATCTTGGAAGACAATTGTCCATGAATCTTGGGCACTATTGAAAGGGAAATTTGTTTTAAGGACACAGTATCAAACATTGGGCTCAGGATTTTTCTTTGTTGTTTTTATATGTTTTCGTTCGATATGCTATAACTTCGTGTTATTTCATTTTTCAATTTTTAAACAAAGATCATCCTCATAATTATTTGGCATTGTTTTTCATAACAGAACTAACTCTTCTAAAAGCTTAACCTGTTAGGTGAAGACATATGAATGATTTTATATTACATATCTAACAATTCTCATATTTCAAAGATGCGATTGATGACTGCTTGCTAACCTCATGTTTTTCAGGAATCAAGGCAAGAACTTGTTCATACCCAATTGCTAGTAAGAATATGTCTTCTATCTCTGTCTTTGCCCTCCATGAGTGTTATATTATTCTTTTTTCCTTAAAATGTTTTAATTCGAAGGGTTTGTGGCCTTCTTGATATACTACAGTACTAATATATTTCATTGACGAAGAATCAGGCCAACTTTTCATTAACTTTCACCTTATTATCCGATGTCTGGGTTTTGCATTTTGTGAATATAATTTTGGATTTTTCCATTGGTTCATCTTTTACTCAATCAATCTGGTTTGAGCCAGACAGGATCACAAAGGCGACATGGTTCTCCCTACTAATTTTTTAACACAGTGGCATACCCAGAACGCAAACACGATACCCCTGGTTAAGCTAGAATAATCCCGTGCCAGTTGATTCATGGTGAATATAATTTTGGTCACTGATAAAAATTAGAAAATAATTGTGCAAAGTGTGTTTAGAATGTTTTCCTGTGAGTTCATTTGTTGTTTGAATAAATAGTGAATCAAATTCATTTTGGTTTTCTACGTAAAGAAAGAATAAAAATCACCAATGACCACAAGTCTCCTGTGGGCTTTTCATCAAAAGAAACTATTTCCCTCTCTTTTCTTTTAATTATTATTGATATATTTACCTGCTCTCATGTCTTAAATTTTTTTTTTTGTTAGTAAAATCCTACAAATTGATTGTCATGCACAATTGGTCAAGCTGTGTATTAAATAAATCACGGCAACTTCCACTTTCATCTCAAGTTTGTTATAAATGATAAGTTTGCGCAGCACTGTTGTCCATATTATTTCTGTTTTGTTCCCACTATTTTGCACCCTTTGCTCTTCATCTGCATCTTAATAGGCAGTTAGGCATCACAAGCTTAAGAAGTGGCATGTGGTGGTTTTGTCTTTTTTCCTCCCATTTTGTCCTTCCTTCCATCTCTTTCTTTCTCCTTCGTAGCAGTGGGCAGAAAATCAACTTATCTTTTCTTGAGCATGCTTGGTCTTCCATAATTGTTTTGAAGTCCTTGTTTTGCAAGTTTTTGGTGGTCTTTGCCTCATGGATTTTTTTGCCTACATATATGTTTCCTTGCGAGTTAAATGTCCGTTTGGCTTGCCAGATTACTAAAAGTATCTATTTGCTTCTTTCTAAGAGAGTAGTTGATAGAGGTGTTTACATTAGTATACAATTTTTTTGATATATAAGAAATTTATTGACACGGAGAGAAAAAAGAAAAGGAATCCTCCTGAACAAAATAAAAAAACATAAAACATACATGGAAAAATAGATCAGTGTAACAAAGCTTTCCAATTCCTTATCACATACCCCAGAAAAAAGGCCTAGATTTTAAACCAAATATATGCCGACAGCCTAATCTTTTTCCAAGTCAAGTAATGTGCCAAAGAATCCTCCTCAAAAAGCCACTAGGATTGGTCTAGTGGTGATGAGTTTTGATAGTTTGTATTAGGTTGTGTTCAATTCTCACTATTGTATCCAAAAAAAAAAAAAGAATCCTCCTAAAAGATACGATAGATCTGCTCCAACCAGATACATTTTAATACAAAATAATTTTGTAGGAAATTTGTTTTAAATGTTTATGGACAAACCATTTAGAATACAATGATTAGCTGGTTAATTAGCACCTGATAAGCAGTTTAAAATTTCTCTCCATGACCATTAAACATAACATAGTTGGAAACTCCACAGTTACTGCATATTTGCTAACTAAGATTCTTGGATGGTTAAGTTCGTGAAGTCTTACATTGGTGTCAATTAATCCCATTTTATTGTCTGCATCTTTACTGTGGTGCAGGCTGCACGAGGCCAGATTGAGCAAGCAGCCAGTATCATGAAGAGGCTTAACCAAGCACCAGAAGCCACGAGGGTGTTGGAACAAAATCTTCCATCAGTTCAACTAAACAACACCCCTCCTCAGCCTTCTTTCACCCAACCTTCTATATCTTATGCTCCGCTCCAAACTACTGAAGAAGATAAGAAGGCAGCAGCAGCTGCTGTTGCTGCTAAGCTTGCTGCCTCTACATCCTCTGCCTTCATGCTTACATCTGTTCTTTCTTCCCTCGTTGCTGAAGAAGCTGCTGCCTCCATGAATGGCAGCTTGAATTCTACTGGATTTACTTCAGGATTACCTCCTGGTTTCAATCCAGAGAAAAGGCCCAGGCTTGAAAAACAAATGCCTGTTTCTGATGTTAATGGTTCTGATACAGGAAGCTCTTCTTTTTTCGCCACATCACAGCAACCATCAGTGGCAAATTTGCCACTGACAACATCAACCAGCTTGCAACCCATATCACAACCCAATCAATTACAAGCTCCATTTCCTTCAGTGCCCCCACCTCCTCCTCATTCCCCGGCAAATCCACCAGCAAATCAATATGTCCAACCTACTGGCTTGATGGTTGGGGGAATTCCTTATGGATATGGATCAAACAACCTACCACCTCCACCTCCTTTGCCTCCATATGTGGCAATGGGGTTATCAAGGCCAAGCACTCAACCATCACAATCACAGCAGTCACAGGCTCAGCAGGCACAGCAGCAACAGCAGTCATCGACTGGAGGATTTTACAGGCCACCAGGCATAGGGTTTTATGGGCAAAACCATCCATCAACACCACCAGCGCCAGTACCTAGACAGTGAGCATTGTTCAAAGACCAACAGCTAAGATTGCTGCAAGCTTTGTATCAAGTTCCTTTGAGAAATTTCTGTACGCTGAGGATTTTCCTGGAGGCTGTGTAACAATGTAAATTATTAGAAAATTAGATGTTGCAAGAATTCTGTAACATTACACACCCCCCCCCCCCCCCCCCCCCCCCCCACACACCACCCCACCCCCCCTTCTATTTTTTCTTTTGCCGTTTTCTGTTAAATCTTAGTTGTAGCTTTTGATATCGTTGGCTGATACCTGAGATCTACATAGCCAGAGTCAATTACTATTTAAAAGCATGAACCTGATGGGGTCCTCAGTAATTGGTCTGAAACACTGAATACCCTTGTTATGGGGTATCATGAATGTGGACATCCTAACTTTCCAAAAAATAAAAAAATATGAATGTGGACCTCCTCTTTCTGCTTGAAGCTGCTATTGGCATGACGCATGAACATTAGTGGCTGGTGTTAGTTTCCTCTTCTAGATGAGTGGCTTTTATTGCTCACCTTTCTCCTGGGATACTATCATAGAAGGTTGGAGGTTAATGTATTGTAATATCAATTGGCAAGATATGCTAGCATTTTTGTTGGCATGATAAAATCTGAGCACTGGATTTCGGAGAAAATTGAGGGCCCTATCATAACAAGGACAATTCATCAACATGGAATGCCCTTGTCGATAATATTTTCAATGCTCATGTAGTATATAATGCACCCACTTAAAGTGGAAAAATATAGTGATTCATATGATGTCAGGGAGGTCATGTGAGACGAGAGAATGCATTAGAAAAAAAGCGAGGAAAGGATAGTTGTTAATTTGTCTAAGGACGATTGTGGGGTCTTACTTGATCTCATGACACTTAATCGAAAGCAACTCACTTACCCAATTGCATTTATGAAAAAATTTGGCAAGAAATGAGTGTAAATGCTTTAATGTGAGGGGCTGTATGTATTATAGGGGCACTAGCCATATTATTATAATTTGTTTAATAACCTTATTTTGCAAATAATTTTAAAACTTTAAAATATAAAGAATCTATTGTATGAAATTTTGCAATGAAAATAAATAATTTTGAAAAAATTGTATGATAATTAAGATTTTTTTTTTTTTTTTTGGTAAAATAAAATGAATTTTGTATGCACTGGGGTGCTTGCTTCAAGGTTCTGTTTTGGTGGCCAAGGGTCTCAAGTATCTCTACCACCATTGTAATTAGGGCGAACAAAACTAACTCGGCTTGACGGGACTAAACGAGGCATGTGTGCTGAATTTTATAGCATACTCTCAAAAGTGGGGCAGGACGAGCTAGTTCATTTTTTGGCAGGTTGATAGTGGTGAAGAGCGAGTTAGTGTAAAATGAGTTCGAGCTGGCGGGCCAATTCGCCCTTCCCGCCAAACGGGGAGGAGCGAGCCAAGTTCTTCAGTTCACTTTCAAAAGCGGGGTGTGGCAGATTGACTATCTTTTGTTGGGTTAATGGCAAGGTGTGCTGGGCCAGGCGCTCACTTTGCCACCTCTAATTGCGACTAGGCAGAGTCACAGAGAGTTATACAGTGAAGGTTTTGGACTTGGATACTTTGTTAGAGATTGGGAGGGGTAATGATTTTGGAAGGGATTGGTGGTAGAAGTAAAAGAGTGCAAGAAGTAGTTGGGATGCAAGGGAAACTATGTTGCACCGACACCGACACGGGATACGACACAACACGATACTATGACACGTTAATTCTAAAAAATGTTAAGTTTCGATACGTTAGGACACATTTTGATATTATATAATTTTTTAAATTTATGTAGTGTATATTATATTTAATATTCAATAATTTAACAAAAAATAAAGTTAAACTTATAATACCCATCAATTTTTCAAAGAAACATAAGATATCACATATGTTTATATTAAACTTAATAAAATAGTAATCGTAATATAACGAATCTAATAGTTGGAACTCTAAATACAACGCAATGTAACCCTTGAACCTTTTTTGAGTCTTTGCAACTAGTATTGGAGTGTTATGAAGTGTCAATGAGTGTTGGGAAGTGTCGGACACGACATGTCAGGAATTTTGAAGTGTCAGTGCTTTATAGATGGGAGAAAAATGGTTCTTGGAAGGAAGAGGGAATAAGTAGAAAAAAAGTACTGTTTTAGTTTTTTCATAATTTTTGCGTGCGGGATAAAAAAATTGTCTCTTGATTTAGTGAGAGAATTTATTTATTTTTCTTGGGCTTCACCCCTTTTTTTGTTTTGTATTTTGACCATTTTTTAAATGAGATATGGAACAAAGAGTTTTGTCGGGTACAATCCTTTATTTTTAACACTTTACCTTTGTATTTCTATTGTTGTGAGGTGCTTAAAAGATCCAAATAATGATTAAAAAATTGCATTTGAATTTTGAAGTACGATGGAAACCTTGCTTAGATAAAAAGTAATTTCGTCCTATTCTTCTGTAAGCACTGTTATTTTTAGTTTTTATAATTTCAACTCATTTAAATTTTAATTTCTATAGTTATTGTTTACCAAAAAAAAAAAAAATTCTATAGTCATTGTTTTGGGTTATATACCCTGTTTTTTATTTATTTTTTTAAATGCTGATGTTCATCGTTAAGTTATTAGTGGTTATACTTTTCATTTACTTGGTTTTAATCTTATAAATTTACTTGTTAGTATATTAAATTGCAGGCATCTTGGGGCAACTCCCACCAAAGGAGAAAATACGAGAATTTTTTTTTTCATGTCTTATTAATTTTTCATATCAAATTCTATAATAGAAAATATTTTATTTATAAAATGATTTTTTATGTTTAGTTAAAAAGATAAAATAAAATAAAATTTGGATTTGCATAAATGTTGACCGTGTGACGGAAAACGTTGATAGCGTATCTCGGAGTGTTGACCGTGTGTCTCAAAACGTTAACTGCTGGTTGGAACGTCTCAGTGTCCGACATGTATTTTTCAAAAAAAAAATGCCGTATTCGTGCCTCATTGACAATTGTAATGGATCGACATAGTAGACTTCAAGGCTGACTACATGAATGAGTCCAAACCCACTCTTAGATATAAAATCTTTTGTAAAATGAGATTTCATCTCAGGTTGGCTACGTGAACCAGTAGTCTATGTTGGGTTTGCTCTTTTACTAAAGCCCAAATGGGTTATTAGTATGAGAAGAGCCCAAGGAACCTAGAGCCCAATGAGCTAGGGTTTCTTGGAACCCATATAAATAGTACCTCTTAAGTCATCAGCCTCCAAGGTCTTTTTTGTGAGAAAGAGGCAAGCTCTGAATCTAATGAGTGCCCACACACTTCCCCTTCCTCCTCGAGAGATAGTTTGGAAGATCTGCCACAGTCCAGCTTCAAGGAGGTTGTTCGTGCTGCGGCGCTGAGGTGAGCTGTTCGTGAAGAGGAATCCTACAAGGGAAGATTCTACACGAGACCTGCGCACCGAGAGGTAATTGTGAAACAAGGATGATTCGGTAAGCATACCAATGTACTAGGTCCTAAACCGCTTCCGCATAAATCTAAGATTTCCTACAATTGGTATCAGAGCCTTGGCTGTACATTGGTATGTGAATCTAGTTTCACTATTCATGTAATTAGTTTTGCTTCTTGAAATGTGGCACCTAGGGTTCTAGGATTATGGTATGAATCTAGCATGTGTACTTTATAATTCATTTTCATAAAAGTTTAAATTTTAATCGGTAAAAATGCTTTAATCCATGGTTAGGGTCTCTCGTGTATTTCTCGATTTGTAACAAGGAGGCTAATCCCATATGATTAGGTTTCCTCCTTGCTGTTTTTGTTTATTTTTGGAATTTCTGTGTATTTTTTTCAATATTTTGTAAAAGTTCAAGATCGAGAAATCGCGAGGAAGATGCGCAGTCATCACTGTCGGAGACTTTTCGACGACTTCCCGATCTCGGAACGGGACGATCTATATATGGTTGGAAAGAGGACGGAAAGACGAACGCAACGGTGGGTGGATCACCGCCATTGGAGCCTTCACGCTCCTCCACGCGCCCCCACAAGCGGATGAGAGTGGCCGCCACTCTCCGGAAAATAATGGGAGAGTGAGGGAGCGTCCGGCCACCTTTTTGCGTGGTTCCGGCGGCGGTGCATTCGTCTCTACGTGGCGGTCCTTCCCCTGGAGTTTCAGCCTGATTTGACTTCGGGTGACGGCGCGGCAGACCTGACGGCTAGGGTTCCTCTTTCGCGTCCTAGGGTTTCTCGCCAAAGGATTGGGTCTTTGGGCTTTTGGGCCCATGGAAACCCTAAAGGGGCTTGAGACAGATACTATGGGTTAGGCCAAAGTCGAATTCCAAAGTTGTATTATTTAATTTTATTTTATTTTATTTTATTTTATTTTCTTTAAAATAGGAAGACCATGGATTAAAGTAATTATGATTTATAATTTAATGCTTTTATTGATTGGTATAAATTATATGATTGATAACATGCTTTATTGCGATAACATGCCATATAGAATAGGTGGTGTCATATTGTTGCATAACTTGTATGATTGCATGAGCATAATAGCTATTATGTCTTCAGCGACTAGTATGATAGTTATTATGGGATTATTTTGATTTTAAATCATCCTAAGAAATTAATTAATAATTATTATGATTTTTATTAAAAATCTAGATTAATAATTGAATTAATTAATTTTGGATAATTAACATCAAGACAAATAATCGTTATGGAAATTATTTTGATTTCAAATTATCCTCATAAATGATAATTATTATGATTGTTGCAATCTAGATTAATAATTAAGTCAGCTATTTGGATGATTTAAATCTAGAAAAATAATTAGAGAAAATTTCCTAAGAGAATTCTTTTATTTTGCGAGTAATTTGTGGGTTTTCTGAAATGGTCATGGAATAACACACGCTGCATACAACATTCATGTATCATGATTGTTTGAAGCACACGCTGACGTAAAGTGACCGGATTTCAGGACCTTAATGCTTTCAAAATTATGTTAAGCTTAGTGCACGTTTATCGGCGCTATTACTTATATAGTTTTTGAAATCAAACAAAGAATACTCTCAATTAAATAATTCTTGGAAATTAGAAAATGTTGCTTATGTTGAATGGAAGGAGATTTAAATTAAGAGATTAATTTAACCTTCAAGCGCATTATAGGACCATTAATAAAATAATCATGTG